TCAATCACACATCATGGAAGGATCAGCAGACCCTGGAGAAGACGGTATCCATGGACACACAGACTGTAGTCAATCACACATCATGGAAGGATCAACAGATATTGGAGAAGACAGTAATCATGGGCTCATAAACCGCCATTTACCACTAATCTCTGATACAGCACTTCATACTTAGGATGATCGTTTTCTTTCAAAGGACTAGCTCTCCATGTGAGCTGGCCCTGCCCTTCACCAGCTGTCAGGAGAGTGGGCCTTGCACCTTGCCTGGGCAGCACAGTAGAGCTGGTTCTGGTCGAGGGGGCACAGGTAAGCCAGCCTTGAGGGTGAGAGCACAGGAGAGCTAGCCCCACCACTTGTCTGCTGTGAGGTGGCATGGGTCGAGGGTGATGCCCGCTCCCCCTTGCCACCAGCAGTAGCTAGGAGAACTGGTCTTGGGGTCATGAGAGGAGGGGAGATAGCCATACCCTCTCAATGACTGTAGCACTTGGGCGAACAGGCACTGCACTTTGACTGGGCAGCACATGGAACTTGCTCTGGAGGCATGGGTGTGGATGAGCAGACCCCTAGGGCATGAGAGCTGATCCTGCCTTATGCTGATGGCATCACTGAGTGCCCTAGTTAAAGCAGTGTTGGAGAGCTAGCCCTGGTGGTGTCTGGAGGGAGAACCAGTGGGGTGACCAGCTCAGTTATCATGCAGGCCAAGATCCAGGCTCTGAATTGGCCCACCCCAAAATCTATGTCATCTGCAAATGGTCCAGATGTGTGAAAGGGCCAGTCCTGCTTTCCAGAGCTGCAGGATTACCATGACATAGGGCAACGACAGGATAACTGGGAAGAGTCCCGATGATGATCCAATATTGGTGGTGTCACAAAAGCCAGGGATCTCGAACCAGACCACTGACTCACTGCAGTGAACATTTGCAAGTGCAGATGTGTAAACAGAGTGATCTACTGTGGGACAAACTGACACACTACAGCTTCCATGGTGAGATGTGTTCTATGCTTCGTTTTTGTTACTGCTATTGTATGTTCGGGTGTGCTTTTTTGGAGGGCGAGGTTGCAGGGGTGAAGGGCTGATATGAGGTGACAGGCAAGTGATCAGGACTGCAGTGTATGATATCAATAAGAAGTAAAAAAAGGGGGGTAGCTCTCAAAATTAAACATAGTCAATCAGTAAGTCTTCCAACTTGCACAAAACACAGGCACAGGAGTCTTAAGTAAGAAATCAAAATATATAGTTCTGATGTGAGATATTAGAACAACTATTATAAAAATACATAGCTTTTCTTAGGTTTGTCAGCATCACTCAGGAGTACATCTTTCCTTAAGGGTCTCTGAAGAGCTGTTTGTATAATTTATCTTATTCCTTTCTAATCAATGGCTTAATTCTCAAATAAGAATCCTGGCAAGAATATGGATTTAATTCCTGCTAAACAATGGATTTAGTTTAGAATCAACATTATAGCTGTTAAATATAAGATCTGATGGT